TTTGTTGGGGGCTGAACTCCAGATATGAGAGAGGCCCAGAGCCAAAAGTGGTTTGTTTTCGTCCTCCATCCACCCACATATTTTAATGCCACCTATCTTTCTGTCTTTTGGTTTTCCTTGGCACTCAAGAAAAATTGGGCCACAGGCTGTGTGAAATTAAGCTGAGGGTTCCCTGAAGCTCCAGGGCAACATGTTTTCCACCTCTCTACCACAATAAAGTCTCATGGCATTGTCTCTTATGCCTCCATCCTTTGGTCTGAGGAGACCTTGAATACTTCTTCTTGCATTACTACAACTACTACCACCAATACTATCAGAGAACAGGATACCTGAGAGATAGCATTACCCATTGTCTAGCCAATTGACCAATACGCCAATAAAACAACCATGCGGTAATTGCTACAAAGGAGAAAAGTTAAGGGGGGAAGACACAGCAACTGCAGACTTGGCCATACTCAATAATAATAATAATAATAATAATAATAATAATAAAAATAAAAAAAACTGCCAGGATGTCCTGGGATGAGTTATATCAATTAGTCCAATAAGCTAATAAACTGATAGTTATAATCTGGGGGTTATGTTTATCACCTTTCTTGTGAATTGGAATGATTATACTCTGCTTCCAGACCACGGGGAAAGTGCCAGTACAGTTTATGTAAGAAAATGATTTTTCTAGGCGATGAGACCACCAACCAGAGCTGTTCTTAGAAACCTTTGAAGGGGTCATTCACTCTCCAAGAGCTTTATCATTCACTAAAGCATCTATGAGATCACTTACTTCTTGTTCTGAAATGGGGGGCCATTCTGGTAACAGCGTTAACCAGTCCTGAGTAATAGTTGGTCCATTAGGACTGCTGTTAAATGACTTTACTAAAGTAAATACACCAAGGACTCAGCTATATAGCTGCAAATAAAACATCTTAAGTGTGTTATAAGTGCAATATACAATGTGACACTAGATGGCAATGGCAAGCCTTATGGAAAACTCAATGAATCATTAAAAACGCTTTTAAGAAAAGCATTTTCAGAACAGTTTTTATATGTGTGTAGATTCCACCCAAGTATTAGCCGAGATGCAAAGCATCTAACATAGGATTAAAACCTGTGTCTGAGATCAAATTCCAGAAATGTTTATCTTTTCTAGCCAAGGCTGCCATTCCCAACTCTTTCCACTGGGTAATCATTAATGACCTCCCCTGCCCCCTTAGTAGTTCCTTATAATTTGAATGATAAAGAGCCAAAGTTTCCAGATTAGCTGTTATTCTAAACCTATCTCATCAGCATTGAACTCCATGTACACTGCCATGATATCTTTGGAAAGTGAGTGAAATACAATGATTAATCAATGCTGAATCCTAACAAATTAAAGACAATGACGTCTCCAGTGGTGGCTTTGCTTTTTATTTTTATTCCATTTTTACCCTTTCCCTAAGATTGATGTCTGTCTGTCTGGGGTGAATACTGTTTTGCTTGGTACCGAATCCAGTTTCTAACAATCTTCGTTACTTGCTAATGATTAAGTGTTTGACCTGAGGTTCAGCAAACAGAGAATCTATGCTTTAGCTCTTTTTTCCTCTTAATTTCAGCTGTGTCTGGTGAGGTCTGGAAACCTCCTGCCTCAAACTTGTAGGGTTTGTTTCATCCCCTGGTTATTAGACGCTGTCTGAACTAAGGAGAGCTATGTTCCAGGGTCTGGGAGGCAAGTTCTTGATTGAAATGATGGTTAAATTTGTAAGGCCATGAAAGGTGAAAGAGAAGGGGAGAAAATCAGAGTTGTAAAATACCGATAAACACCTCCAACACAGGGAGGGTGTTTCATACCGCCCCCTGGTTAAATTTCAGAACACTTTAGAAATCTAACTTTACTGCAGCATAAGGCTTTTGTTAGATATAGTTGATTACACTGGTTATGCCAGTACAGGCAGGTAGAAAGTCATCTTTAATGCTGGTATTTTCAGTATAAAATGAATGGGGTGAACCAATTCATTGCCTTTCTCATGCAAGGGATTTAGAGCAAATCGAGCAAATCTGAGTAGCATATATACTTCAATTCTTCTCCTTCCCTGATCTGCACAAATGGGGGGAAAGAATCTCTTTCTTTATTTGCTTGTACAAGTTTGAAACGAAGATGTTCTTTTTAAGGCTGCTTTGGTACTGTACTGTGAAATGCCAAGATCTGCTGGAGAGCACAAGCTGTTGCGTACGGAGCAGATGGCTGGAACTCTGCTAATAAACAAGCATTAACCTGGTACCTGTTGGTGCATCTGGATATAAATCCGTAAGAGGCTGCAGCTGGCAGCAGGGATAAAGAACTAATGATGAGCCTAAGACTGAAGAAAAAGACAGAGAGGGGAGGGAAAGAACAGGAAAGCTGGGAAAGTGACACTTAAAATATTAGAGCTTTGTGTGTTTCGCTTTTTGGATCAGAAGCTGCCCTTTCAACAAGGTAGGTCCCCCCCCCCCATCCAAATACAAAGCAACCAAAATCAATATGAACCTGGGGAGGAGGGGAGGACAATTGGAAAATTCAGGGCTTGGAGACAGAGGGAAGTCAGTTTCCTGTTTGTGCCAGTACAAATTAGATGGTAGCATGGCTCCCAATTAAAGGCTCTTATGAGCGAAGAAAAACCATCCTTGGAGGTGGCTTTCCTGCTTTTTCTGAGCACAACTCACTTCTTTGCCCAACCAGACTTCACAAGGAGTAAGTAGGTAATGAGCACTGGATGGGATTGTGCCATTCAGTTGCTCCTATGGATGGGACTTGTTGCTTGTCTGTGCTTGTTTCACACTAATAGTTTTTGTCTTCCCGACCTGGTTTGTGCTGATACATCGGGTCCTCCCTTAAAGAGGGCATGTATTGTGGTGAGACCTTGAAACCAACACCCTGTGTTGTGGGTGGGTACGATTGGTCAGCCACAACACCCGATTGGTAGGTTCCTCGTAGCTGGGTGCAATCTGGCCAATGGGACACAGTCCAAATGGTTCGAGGGACCTATTTATACCCATGCACGTGACCCAGAGCTTCCTCTTTCGGTGCATGCATTCAGAACACCCACCCACCTCTCCCTAGTTTTAGGGCTTTGTGATTGACCTTGCTATGCTGTCATGTGTTGTCTGTCATTGGGACAGGGGCACAGCAGGAATTCTCCCCATTTGGCTGATTGGCTGTTGCCATTTGGGTTTCACCTGCCGCATAGCAAATCATCACAACTTGTAAGGTTGCGGATAGCCTCTGGTTCAGGTGGTAGGGATGGGAGAACGCTCTCGCCATCCCTATGTGAAGTGTATTCTGTTAAAGAAATCCAGAGACTCAATGGTTTAAGTCAACCCCTGAGAGGGGGTTGTGCCCGTGCCTCAGTCTAGGGGGACATTTGGGTGGCAGAGACAGCCTGTTCCCGGCTTTCTGCTTATCCAGGTGTTCACCCTTGGCTGACCTATGCTGGAATCCTGGGTCAGCGCTACCTGCATGGCTGGGAGCTAGTCAAACCAGAGCCTATGCAGCCACCCACTTTCTGTAATCAATAAAGTTGTGGCCTAAATTCTGCTGAAAACCAAAACTAAAATTTGAGTCAAGTGTGAATTTAGGGGGGAGGTTTATGGGTATGAACACACAATTAGGTGCATCTCCATAGCAGGTATCTCAACTATGAATTCAACTATACTTTTGAGTTTCAGCCTATCAAGCCAAAAACATCCACTCTAAGTTAAAACTTGTGTAAAAGTTTGCATTTGCAAAGCAGAGAAGTTTGCATTAAGAGATTCCATCTCTGGGATCAAAGAGAGAAGTTTCTGGACTGTGTCAAAGGACTTAAAGGACTGAACCGCATAGTTGAATGCAATGTGTTACTCCAATACAAATCATCCGTCCCCAAGGCACACAAGATAATCACAGAATAGTATGTTTTTCTTTCTTCCTTTCTTTAAAAATAGCCCTCTTTCCATATTGTATATTTTATAATACGATATGCTTTTAAGCTGCTAATATCCCCTGCACAACTTAAAAAGCATTGCTTTGCCATTTCCACCCCCATTTGGTATTCTACATAATTCTTTACACCCTTCCTTTACACTCTTCATTTCAACCAGCCACCTCATGACCAGAGCCTGTCTTTGCCTGCTGTGCACAGACTTCCAAACAATATTCATTGTTCTTCAGCTTAGCCTTTTCTTGTTTGAGAGGATTACCTAAAACACCTACACCATGGGTAGGCAAACTAAGGCCTGGGGGCCGGATCCAGCCCAATTGCCTTCTAAGTCCGGCTTGCAGACGGTCCGGGAATCAGCATGTTTTTAAATGAGTAGAATGTGTCCTTTTATTTAGAATGCATCTCTGGGTTATTTGTGGGGCATAGGAATTCGTTAATTTTCCCCCTCAAAATATAGTCTGCCCCCCCCACAAGGTCTGAGGGACAGTGGACCAGCCCCCCGCTGAAACGTTTACTGACCCCTGACCTACACCATTCCACCTACTCAGAGATGGACACTTACTGTAAATCCATTTAGTTGAATCATCCAGGCATTTCATGTTACAATATAATGAGCAAAGTATTTTCTGTAGAATTAGAATTTTAAACAAATACTCTATTTGGAGACAAGCAAGAGTCTAAACAAAGGTAAATGGCCATCACTATCTGACTTGACAACCAGCTTTAATGTTAGTCTAACATAATTATTAGTTTACCTTGCTGCGCTGTAAAAAAAAGAAATGGCACAATAGAATCATCTGGCTTGCCTTTACATTTTATTTACAAATATAAAATATAAAATAAGCTTAAAAGTAAGCCAGCATTTAATTATCCTTGACCTTTCATGAAAAAAAAATCATCAACTTCCTAAAAACAAGTATTCAATTAGTAACTGAATAATTTCTAAAGAAAATCTTAAACATTCAGAATAATACAAATCATTTCCAATTTAGCATAAGAGTATGGGTAATGGGTAATGAGAGAAAATGGCAAACATTGCTGCCAAGGAAATAAATCCATGACATATTCATATTCAATTCAATATTGTTTATTTGTTCTTTTTTCTTCTTTTGGCAATGCGCGCTGCTGTTTTCTGATAGGAGTGAGGAGAAACTGCCTTTAAAAATAAAATAAAAAGGTATCCTGTACATTTGCTGTGTAAGGCCAATGCAGGGCACAGAGTAATCACCTAAATATGACAGACGGAGTGACCAGACAGTTCCAATAAACAAAAACAATGTCAGTGACAGAAGCAGAGTTTCAAGCTTAAAACCTGGAGACTGAGAAAAAGAGATAAGAAGTTAGGGGTGAAAGTTTATCAAAAGATCAATGTTGAAAACTGCTTTCTCACATGTCAGGTCAGAGATTAGTTCTTGAGCAGGGGTATAGGTTTGGAATAACTTGATGCAAGATAGAATCTCCCTTCAGGACCCTAGATTGACAATAAGTGTCATTGGACAGCTTTGCTGCATCAGGAAGGAAGTGGTCTAGATATTCTGGAGGCCCCACATCTGTTGGATAGGAAATAACAGTCATTCTTGTGACCTATGAATGGAGGACAGCCATGGTGGGTTTGCAACTTTGAGTCAAGGCATCAGGACCACACTTCAAAAGGCGAGAGCTCTTCTTCCATAGAAACCCAGCTGAATCTGATGAGAAAGAGAGCTGGAGTGTCTGCAGCATGCTGGTGGCACTTTGTGCTAAATCCCCAAATCACCTCCTATGCTTAGAACATGTTGTGTTCAAAATGAAATGTGTGCAAAACTAAATGCTAACAGTTATGGTCAACACCAGCTGGTGAGACAAGGCAATGAGTGGGTAGAGACCTCCACTGAGTCATGAGCAAGAGGGACAAGAATCCTCTTCTATCCTTGGGGAGGGGCAGAATGCAAGTGTTCGAATAGTACATCAATCTGCAGAGCAATCCAAACTAAAGGAGGCCAGTGAAAAAATACGCTGGAGTAAATTATGCCTCCAACTTTGCAAATTACTCCAACGTCTTTTTAAAATCGAGTTTGACTTCCATCACCCTTTTGGTCAGTGTAACTTCCTCTGGCTCACTAGGTCATAGCGGGGTTTGGAATAGGGCTGGATCTCCCCTGCCCTGCCCCCTGCAATGCCCTATTTTGCATCAGGGACTGGCAAGATGCTAACAAGTGTGCACCAGGGGCAGCGGAGCTGGAATCTGACTTGGGAGACAGGGGCAGTGGTTTGTGGGGACCCTTACCAGCCAGGAGGCAAGAATCAGAAGCAGGGGGAACTTCATAGCTGAAGGGTGGAGCACAGGAAGATAAGAAGGAAGAGTCAGGTCAAACAAGTGAAGGCAGCAGTCAGCAAACCTTTTCAGCAGGGGGCCAGTCCACTGTCCCTCAGACCTTGTGGGGGGCTGGACTATATTTTGAAGAAGAAAAAATGAACAAATTCCTGTGCCCCACAGATAACCCAGAGATGCATTTTAAATAAAAGCACACATTCTACTCATGTAAAAACACACTGATTCCCAGACCGTCTGCAGGCCAGATTGAGAAGGCGATTGGGCCGCATCCGGCCCCTGGGCCTTAGTTTGCCTACCCATGGGCTATGTGCTTCCTCACCCTCTCCTGCACCACTGCCTCCCAGAACCAGGAGGGGATTGAAAAGGGAAGAGTAGAGGTATTTTCCACATACGCAGAGTCTATGGCTGTGTGTATTCAGCCCGTCAGGGGAAGGTACGTAAACTGATGGGGGGGGAGGAGTGGTCCTCTGTTGCTGCAACTGCTCCATAGAGCACAGACCTGGGAATAGCTGCCTAGCTATTAGATTGGTGTACATAGACATCCAGAGCTGCAGAAGTGACTGTCAGTGTTATTTTTGACAATAAAAACTATCTGCTGTGAACATTGCTTTGGCTGCGACATTTTGGGGACTTACAGAACTGAGCTAAGTTAGAGATCAGTTGGAGACCTGTCTATTCCAAACTAGGCTCCTGCTGGCAGATACGGGGTTTTGATTGCTCCCTGATCTGACATTTATGTCATCATATAATATACTGGCATATCTATGACTGTGGGCTTCAGAAGAATGTTGTAGTCTCATGGTTGGGAAGTATGTGAAGATATTTTGGTTCTTAATCCTTTTTATGTATTCCAGGGAAGCAAGAAACACCAGTATAGGTGGAGAATGGCTTGCATATATATCTGTCCCAGTTCTGCTATCAGGAGACACTCTTATTATGAGTCTTTTCGAGCAGAAATAAAGTAGAATCCAGTTGAATGCAAAGAAGCTGGTAACAGGGTAAAAAAATCACAGATTCAACTGTGTGCAGGTTAGGAGCAGAGAACATGGGGGGGGGAGGAAATGCGAATTTCCAGTGTTCCTGAATAGAAAGCCATTTTTGGTGAAAGTAAAACTTTGGTGCTAGAAAATAAAATCAAACTTTTTTAAAAGCAGCACTGCAGACAAAAGCCATAAAGAAACAAAAACAAACAACAGAATGTCAAATGCACTTTTTGGGAAATGAGACAGGGAAGTAAGTAACTTCTTTAAGAAATAGAAGGTTGCACAAAATGACATAGAGCTGAGCCAGACTAATTGACTGTGAAATGATTTCCCAAACACTGTGTTAGAAACATATGATAGCCTGTCTCCTTAAATAGTTTTACAAAGAACACAATTGTGGCTAGCGTAAAAAAGCATCAATGACACAATGGGACAGCATTGTCATGGGACATTTGGATTTGATCTTTAAGGAGGGGGTGGATAACCTGTGGCCCTCTAGATGTGATTGGACACCAACTCCCATTATACCTGACTCTATTAGTCATGCTGTCTGGAGCTGATGGGAGTTGGAGGCCAACAACATCTGGAGGGTCAGAGGTTACACTACCCTGCTGTAAGCAGTGAGTTTTCCTGGGTATAGATGCAAAGGCTCCTTTCCCGGAGAGTCATGTAGTGAACATGATGACATAATGGTAGCAACTGACTGTATAATGTAAGGTTACCAGATTTTTTTCAATGAATCTGGGGACACTTTAAATAAATAAAAAAATACTACATGTTCGGGACGTTGATGCTGTAGCGATGGCGGTGGCAGAGGGGTGGCTGCCGCCTTGACCTCAACCGCCGTGTTTCCCCTTCCTCTGAGGCTTCTATCTCCTTTCTCCATGAGCCTGGGCAGCCCCTGAGTTGTTGGTTCTTCAGTGGTGGTGGTGGTGGGGAAGGGGTGCGCTGTGGGTCAGGCATGGAAGGCAGAGGAGGAGGGCCTAGAGAGGAGGGGCTGCGAGACTCGGGCAGCGTGATGCCTCCCTTCCCATCGGAGCAGCCCCAATCCCATTCCTACTTGTGTGCAAGCAGGAAGAAGTGGGGGTCCCTCAGCTGGGAAGGGAGGCTTCCCGTTGCCTAACTGAGAGATCCCTGCCCTCTCCTGCTTGCACGCAAGCTCTAATAGGCAGCGTGAAGCCTCCCTTCACAGCTTAATTGCTGGGGTCAAGGAAGGTGGAGGCAGCCCGGAAGCTGCATCTTAGAGCCCCTGCACCACCATTATATGGGGACTTCCGAATAGCTCCTGAAGCCAGCCAGAGCCAACAGCTCCGGGCTGCTGAGACTGCCGCTGCTGCGTTTCCCGGGGACATTAGATGAAATCCGCGGACATTCCAGGGATGGAATTTGCAAATCCGGGGACTGTCCCCGGGAAACAGGGACGTCTGGTAACCCTAGTATAATGACATCACAGAATGCAAATGAAATCATCAGAGGATGAGGGCAATGATTCCTGCATTAATCACCTTGATTACCTTGGTCAATTGGATCTCCAATGGCTATCCTTCAGCATGGATGAGTACTTTCACCCATAATCTCCCGAGGAACATGAACAGGTTTTCAAGAAAAATTCACTTCTTTCATGTCAGGTGAACTTGCCTTGGAGGTGGGGCTGCTCCTTTAATAGCTGCTGAGATTCAATAATTTATAACTATGAGGTCCTACAATGTTGTGTTGCTCTTTCAAGTGTAAGGGCACGCACTTTCAAGGAAAAATAGAGCCAACAGGAAAAACCTATTTGTAGGAACACTTAATAATGAATTATTCTGTTTATTTGGGATGAGACAGATGCCAATTGAGAGGAGGACTCACTTTTCTCACAATGACACAGCAGACTCATTGCAAACAGGAAATCCCTATAAGCTTAGAATGTCTGGCATTGTTTTAAATATAATATTATAACTCATACCATTTTCATATTGCATTTCATCCAAGACCCCAGAGTAGCTTACAATAGACTAAAAAGAAAACAATATACATACATACCAGTAAAACAATGACAGAGTAGCTTGCTACAGCCCAGGTAAACATCAAATGCCAATAACTAACACAGGATCACTTTTTTAAAAAAAGAAAAAAAAGCCTAAACACCCAAATTAAGATGGCCCATAGGCCTTGATGAATGTGTTTTTCATGTATGACAAAAGTTCACTACAAATTATGTTTGACATATTTCAAGGGATAGAGAGTCCCCACAGAGAAGGCCCTATCAGTGGCATAGCATAGGTTGCCAGCACCTGAGGCCATGTGGATGGGAGTGGAAGGGATGGAAATGGATGGAGTATACCTGCACATTCAACTGCCTAATGGCATCCACATCACCTAGGAGATCACAGCCACAGAGATATGAAAATAAAAGAGGAGCTGTTCTGTTGTTTGGAGAGGTCACTTCCTGGTTCGCATGGAGAATCTGTTTTCAATAGAGTCCAGCGACGGAAGCGCACAGCTGTATTGAGGCAGTACCAGGTGTTGAAATTTTGCACCCCTAACTATTTTGCACCCAGACAAATTTGTCCTGATCTAAGGGAGCTTTGTATAGGTTTTGAATCTGAATGTTGCATGCACAATATACAATGCAAGCATAGAACATGTCAACATCACATTTGATGCAGCCATCTGTTTCTATACTTGCATGTCCCCATGTCCACATATTTGATCCCCTTCTGTGAGTTACTTATGGTTGTCTGGGGACATTTTGTAAACAAATGCTTTTGTCATTATATTGTGGCATCAAGACTCAACAGACCATGCTTTATTGGCCAATTAATACATTTTTGGGATTCATTGTGTGACCAAGTGCATTTAGCCAGTAGAGGTATATATTAACAGCCCAATAAAACATACCCTAGAGTATCCTCCTGCTATTAAACTGAAGCTTAAAGAACCTTAGTTTATCTGCTGAAAATGTCTTTTTTAAGCAGCCTGAAAGCTTCAGGTGGTTCACTGATTTTAAACTGATTTTTCTCATTTCATTTTAATTAAAATGCGCCTCATTTTACAATGGGTTAAATACTGTTAAAAGATATGTAATAAATGTCTTTGTTCCTGTAATGACTTCCATTGCCCTAAAAATAAAAGAAAAGATCATAATTAGTCCAAGGTTGCTGAGCTTTTCATTAGGCGATATTTGCAAAGATCTTTGGCTTCTTTCTGAACAATGTCAGGCCAGTGCATTGTTCTGTTGTATTTACAGTTTGTATGTATGGCCTTATTATTTTAGAGCTTCTTAAACTGATTTTATTCTTCTTAGAGTTTGGGTTTCCATTTCATTCTGTTTTTAACATATACACCATTTTGATGGCTTCATGCTGTGATGCGGTCTATAAATTTGTTTAATAAAGCAAATAAACCAACAAACCATTGGCCCCAGTGTAATGGTCTATTGAAGGACGTACAACCCAGTTGATGGCAAAACATTGCAGCAACTGTGTGTGCATTCCCACCGAGTGGTACTGGCTTATGTGTCTGCACTCAATCCCATGTAAGGTAAACTATGGCCCAGCCTTCAAAATCCCCTGGAATTCATTGTAACGTTAAAAGGTAAAGGACCCCTGGATGGTTAAGTCCAGTCATAGGCGACCATGGGGTTTTGGCGCTCATCTCGCTTTTCAGGCTGAGGGAGCCAGCGTTTGTCCACAGACAGCTTTCCGGGTCATGTGGCCAGCATGACTAAACCACTTCTGGCAGAACGGGACACTGTGATGGAAGCCAGAGCGCATGGAAACGCCATATATCTTCTTGCCGCAGCGATACCTATTTATCTACTTGCACTGGTGTGCTTTTGAACTGCTAGGTTGGCAGAAGCTGGGTTTCATTGTAGCCAGGTACCTGCAGACATTGTCTTGTTTAAATGTTGTCCTTTTAAGTGCATGATCCCCCACCCCTTGCAGAAAGTTCAACCCTGATATTAACTTCCTAAGGTGGGGAGGAATTTTTTAGGCGGGGGGGAAAGGGTAGCTCTGCCATCTCTGAAATGCTAATGACTACCGTGAGCAAACTTCAAAGGGATTGCCACCTAGGTTCAAATGTCCACTAGCTTTAGCAGTTCACAGGCAGCAAACCTGCTTGAAGGCTTGATTTTACCAGAGAAGATAAATTAGCTCTCTCTGAAGTGCTTCAGCCAGGTAGGAAGGCCACGTTCTCTTTGAAGTTTGGCTACTACTTGCGTTTCTCAAGCAACTGATCTTCAAAGAGAGAGGCTGGATTCCTCTTCCCCTTTTTGGTTTCTGTGTTCCGTACAGTATATCAGAAGGAGCTGTGTTGTTTGTGCTGTTTCATTGGGCATTTTGATTTTAAGAAGGGAAGTACATTTTGGGGGAGCAGCGGGCTGGAAAACAGCAGTAAGGAGATGTTGATGGGGGTGCAAAATTGTTAGTTTTTGTTTAAAATGAGAGCTGTCTGTTGCACTTACTTCTGAAAATGTCTGTAACATTTGCAATGGTATCAGTTTGTATGAAAGTCATATCTCACACAATCCTCCTTTCCAAGCAAAGGGACCTGTGCCTTTGAAGTGTATCGATTTGACATAGGGCCTTTTCATTGAAAAATGTTGTTGTTGTGTAGTCGTTTAGTCGTGTCCGACTCTTCTTGACCCCGTGGACCAGAGCACACCAGGCACTCCTGTCTTCCACTGCCTCCCGCAGTTTGGTCAAACTCATGTTTGTAGCTTCGAGAACACTGTCCAAACATCTCATCCGTCCTCTGTCATCCCCTTCTTCTAGTGCCATCAATCTTTCCCAACATCAGGGTCTTTTCCAGGGAGTCTTCTCTTCTCATGAGGTGGCCAAAGTATTGGAGCCTCAGCTTCACAATCTGTCCTTCCAGTGAGCACTCAGAGCTGATTTCCTTCAGAATGGATAGCTTTGCTCTTCTTGCAGTCCATGGGACTCTCAAGAGTCTTCTCCAGCACCATAATTCAAAAGCATCAATTCTTCGGCGATCAGCCTTCCTTATGGTCCAGCTTTCACTTCCATACAACACTACTGGGAAAACCATAGCTTTTACTATACGGACCTTTCAGTGGATAATATAGTTGGACTGAATAATAATAATAATAATAATAATAATAATAATAATAATAATAAACAACTCAAGAAGCAAGGGGTCTGGAAACCTGTAAGATTACTGAGGACCAGCAAATGCAGGAACTGCCATTGATTTAGCTGTAAAGACTGTTACCTTTAAAGTAAATTAGGTGCAGCAATACCCTGCAAAGAACCCATGAAAATGTCACCATATTTCCCCCTTCCCCTTTGATAATTTTAAATGCATTTTCCACATTCACTGATGGAGTGTGGAAATAAAACACAGAAGCCATTTTGGGCACAACATGAAGTGAAATGCATTTCTAAAATTAAGTTACCCTTGCAGCTGGTTCATATGTACATGACTGGAATTATTAGGACAGGTTTTCTCATCACATCTTAAAAAAATGGATGTTGTGAGTGCTTCCGGCTGGTTGGGATAGGTCTGGAACTGTGATAATGCCTCCTGTTTACCTGAACAGAGACCTGCACATGTGCATGTGTAAAAACCGCAAACTTTTACATGGCTAGAATGTATTCTACTCAATAAACACACAAGACATAACTGGCTATACTTTTGAATAAATAAGGTATAATATTCATTGTGTCCAATTGTAGATTTCAATGGAAGTCTCATAAAGTTCAACGGAAAAAGCAGAAGACCCAGTGGATCAGTTCATTCTCTAGTCAGTTCATGCATAAGGTCCATACATGTATAAGTATCTTCTGTTCATAGAGTCCAATAATTCACATGAAGGGTTATAATAATAATAATTTATTATTTATACCCCACCCATCTGGCTGGGTTTCCCCAGCCACTCTGGGCGGCTTCCAACAAAACACTAAAATACAATAACCTATTAAACATTAAAAGCAGGGCTGACTTCAGATGAATTCTAAAAGTTTGGTAGTTATTTTTCTCTTTGACATCTGGTGGGAGGGTGTTCCACAGGGTGGGTTGTTACAGTTCCACAGAATCCTTTCGTTGAAATTTATGAGACTTCCATTGAAATCTACAATTGGACACAATGAATATTATACCTTATTTATTCAAAAGTACAGCCGGTTATGTCTTGTGTGTTTATTGAGTATGTTTCACGTAACCATAGGTTTGTTGTTGTCGTTTTAGAATGTAATCTACTGCACAAAGGAGTCTGGCCTCATCCATTATGACATGTCAACTCTCTGCCCCCCCCCCCCGAGGAGGACATGTGGCTTCAGTCATAATTAAGTTATGCCACCCTGGAATACCAGACAAAAACTGATGCCTCCATGCCCTGCTTACAAGCTTCACCTCCAGCATCAAAAGCATCATTTTTTGGGGTGATCAGCCTTCTT